TTTTTTTTTTTTTTTTTTTTTTGGAGAACGGACGAAAATCGGTGCGCGCGCAGGATGTCATCCATAAAATTAAAAAAGTGTGGCCTAAGCCATATATATGCCAAAAGAACGTTGATGAGACATTTTACTATCAGTCATAGGTCGAATGATAGAGGTTTGGTAATAATCATTTTTGGCACTGAAAACATTTGAATTTGGGGCGATATTGAGAGACATTAAAAACTCAAACAAATATTGAAAATACAAAATAATAACCAAACATTATCTTATGCCGACTTTTAAATGATAACTTTATCAATAATTTGCAAGGAAATGTCTTTTATAAAGCTGTATAGAGGTGCGGAAAGCAGACCTCTGCCGAGGGGCCCTTAGTTCTCATTACTGATGATTAATTAATGGATTGCTACCAGAACACCATCGACTTCACGGCAGCCTGAAGATACTTTTTAACAAAACCCATCCATATCTGTAAGCTAACACACCAAAAAGACAAAATCCCAACCTTCTGACATCTTAAAAAAAAGTGACCAAAGGAGGGGGGGCATGAACTCCCATAATTCATCATTCTATTTAGTTACAACGCATTTCGGTATATATTCTGGGCACATCAACATTATTTATTTTTAGATTTTTTTATTATATCTCTTTGTAAACATTAAAACACGTAAGATTTGAGAATGGAGAAGTGTGTCAGTTCTGAAACACAGAAAACACAGAGTATATGATGGAGAAGTCCCCTAAAGAACATACTTAATAAAATCTAAGTAAGGAATATTAAATTGCTAGTCTTGCAGTTTTATTTTCAAATCTTGCCAGCGTTCTTATTGCACAAAGAGAAATAACATAAATAACATAACATTGACCATCATATGCATAATTTGCCCAATATAATATTATATATTAAAATTTTTGATGCAACCATATGCACCAAAATGAAAACTTAAAATTAAAGCAACAACTTAAAATATATCATTAAAATTGTAACAAAAATTTACAACTGGGATAAAAGATATTGAAAATGTCCAAATGAAACACATAAAAATTATTGATGCTGACTAGGAATTGGAATCATTTCAAAATACAATATAAAATTTGTTTGAGTATACAGGAAGGGCGTACTGGGAAGTATTGTTGCTAAAACTAACATAAAACCTAACAAGTTTGTATCAATATCTCATAATAAATTACTACATTTTAAATAATGTAAAAGTGTTGTTAATTTTAATTCCTAAAGCAAATTTGTATCAATATCTCACAATAAATTACTACATTTTAAATAATGTAAAGTGTTGTTCATTTTAATTCCTAAAGGTGCCCAAAGACCTTTGGCAATAGATGGCAGCAGTCACTGGTCATGTGCAAGACAACTCTAATCCAGCCACTGTTCAATACACTTTTCAAAGACATCCTTATTGCCATGCCAATGAGTGTGCTTAACACCAGGGATAACATACTTATGCAATGATCCTCTTTTGTTCAGGGTTTGAAGACCAAATGAGTCCTTGATATAATACTGGAATAAAAAGTTCAAACATGTATTTTGATATATATATATTTATTAAAAGCTCACACAACATATTTTCTTCATAAATTAGTTTTTTTGGTGCAATTTAGTAAAATTTTGCTAGTAAATTAGAGTCTGCACTAAAAGTGGTGAAGAGCTTATAGAATATATTTTCACAGCACATTTGTTATAAGTAAGGGATTTTTTCCACTAAAAACAAATTTCAAAATGTACACACCTCTTGGTTGACCATTTCTTTTACATTTTCATTTTCATCATACGTTCCAAAGTGACTGGAAATAGGAAGAAAAACATTAATAATAATAAAAAAAGTGTTAAGTTTATGGTCCTTGCATTTTGATAGGATTAACAGCCTTTTGCATGTTGCAGGCACTGGACTATTTTTAAAAAATGAAGCTTTATACTCCACCCCTTTGACCAAGATATAACTGGCCTGATACTATTCACCATGGCAGATGTGAAGAAAAAAAATTAAGATAAGGTGTATCTCTCATTGAAATACTCTATGCATGAATGCAAGCTACACCACATCCAGATGTCTCACATGTGACATCTGCCAAACATGCACCCTTGTAGCAGAGGTCAAATGTACTTTTACTGTACCAGGGTATATCATATACTTGAACACCATCTTTCCTTAGGCTGTATTGACAAATTATACACACAAACAGAAAGAAACTGGTTGTTCACTAATTCTAGTTCCCCCCTCCTCCCCAAGATTTCAGAGGCTCCTGGAAGCTCACTTCTCTACCATCAACATCTCTACCACTTTCAGTTTCTAGAGCCTCTGAAAATCAGGTTGATAGACAGTGAACAGCACATTAATTAATTTTGGACATCTTACCTAGACTGCCATGGTGTGATCACCCCATCATCTGGACCACCAATCATGATGAGGTTTTTTATTTTTAGGAAGTTGTTCTTGAAAGCTAAAAATAACAATAGGGATGGATGAAGATCCATCAAACACTTTCATGTTTTTATACCAAGATTTTCTTTTGATCGACTTCACCGTGCAAAACTCTTTCCACAATATATATATAGAAGGAAACCTGTGATTAAAAAACTATTCAAAATTTAAATTTAAAATTAAAAGGAAAACAAGTTACCACTGCTGTAAGGATTGGCTGTCTGATTGTTCAACTGTGCAAGGAAAACCTTTAAGGCAGGTTTTTTGAAGAGGTCCAAATGATGTGGATCTGAAATACAACAGAAGACAGACTAGTCAATCAAGGACACTCTCATGATTTATATGGGAAAAAAATTCAAAAAAATAAATAAAATGATAAGTTAAATTAGATCTTTGTCAGTAAACATATTTTACTTTTTCCTAATTAATTGTTAGTACAGTGACATCAAATACAATTACTTTAAGAAAGTTAACTGGAAAGGGTCCCTACTTCCTCTGAATGAACAAGATTGATATGATATTTACTTACCGTACCAATAATCTCCTACAGACACATTCTGTCCAACAGAGGTATAGAAAACCCTAAAAATATAACAAATAAATTTTATCATAAAAAGCCAACCCATTAAATAAATTATTTTGACATGGGCCTTGTACCCTATTATATTTTCAGCAATTTTAAACATAAACTACGTTCAATTATTTGTATTATTTAAAATTATCTTTCAGAAACTATATCCTGCTTTATGCTTGCTATTTCTACAACAAAACCAAATCCTTAAGCTGACTAAACTGGGATTTTCACTTTAACATTAAAATACATCCATCACAACCAAAACAAACATTACAAACAAACAAACAAACAAACAAACAAAGAAAATACTCGTATAAATATTCCCGGCTAACTGCAGGAATAAATGGCTTTAGCATGGAAGGCACTGCAAGAAAATAGGATGGTTATTACATTTTACTTTACATCAATAGGACAGTCATTTAATTTTATTTAACATCAATGAGTTGGTCGTAACATTCAATTTAATTACAATGGGAAGGTAATAACATTTTATTTGATATCTATGGGATGTACGGAACATTTTACTTATCATCACTAACAGTTTAATATTGACATTCCTTAAAGGCATCTTTGATGGTATGGAGACAACATTCAATTTTAATTCTAATGTACAAAGTAAACAAAGTGAAAGATACTAGTTTCACCAACTGAAGATTACTGAGATATTCAATAGCTAGTGAGCCATTAATTAAATATTTAATCACTTAGCCTTAGTAAATACCTCCAAATTGTCCCCCCTGAGGAGAGCTGAGGGATATGAAATTATAAACATTGTGGGAAGGCAAAGTTTCTAGCACCCCGCGACATACAAGGCCTCCTGAAATATAAATAAATTAATTAATAAATAAACAGACTATGACAAATAACAGGTGTGTGGTGAGGTTTTGTCATGACCCAAATGAAGGCAAAAGGTGAAGACACCTGGTGCACTGTTGGACATATCAGTAACCCCACCAACCATTAGGGGTTAGAGACTGATTAGATTAGATAAAATTTGATAAGATAAGAGAGCACCGACATAGAAAAATTCTTCCAATTCTGGAAAAAACATATAGTTATTATAATATTTTAGTTATAAATATTTTGTGATAAAATTTGCCTGACAGAGAATTATTAGAAAACCAGGTCAAAAATCAAATACCTGAGCAATGCGTATGACAATGAAAGAGGAAAATGATGAAGGTAAGACTAAGATATTTCAGCACATCATAAAAATGGCCAGAGTGTCACTTTGGATGATAGTTAAAGACGACCTTTGCCTAAAATCATTCATCGAAGTAAGAAAGGAGATCTTGGTTTTATCTTTTTTGTACATGATATCTTCATTGTCATAGTTGATCTGGTTGTTAGTTAGGTGGATGGAAAATTCCCATATCAATGAGAGAAAAATTTACAAGGAATTTATTTTCCTGAAAAGAAAAAAACAGGAAGAAAGAAAGAAAGTGCATTTCATCCAATGTAACATAATTAAAAATGGGCAACTCCTAAAAAATGGGAATATATATATATATATATATATATATATATATATATATAATAATAATAGAAGATAACCGAAACAGGAAGTGACTAACAAATTCACAAGGTTGTTCCACAACTGTGACTGGTTTTCAAGAAAAAAATCACCTTAATTTAGCTCAAGATTACAAACTGAAGGAGGATGCTCTACGTAAAATATTAATCTTGAAAACTGTGAATCTAGTGCATTGTGCAGTCACATTGAAAATTGGGTAATTTATCAACTGGTTATGACATTTAACACTACATATAACAATAAGAAAATTTCTTAAAAGAAACTTCCTTCTTGAGAAAATATGAAAAAAAAAGGAAAGTGCATTCCATCAAATGTAAATAAAAATGGGCAACTCCTTAAAACATGAATATCTAATAGAAGAGAACTGAAAGAGGAAGTGACTCACTAATTCACAAGGTTGTTTCATAACTGTGACTGACTTTCAAGAAAAATTTCAAATTGCTCTTACAAAGTGAAAGAGGAAGCTCTACAGACTACACAAAATCTTGTCATTTGTTTACTTAATGCAACCATGAGGACAAACTGGGGTACTAGTAATTCAAGTGACTAGTAATAACATTCAACACTGCATATTACAATAAGAAACTTTCTAAAAAGAAAGATAAACTTCCTCAATGAGAATGCGTGACAAAAAATAATTGAAAGAAGTTGACACCTGATTTTACACCAGCAAAACTTTCTGTATAAAGATAAATAATAACATTTGCTTGCAGCAATAATAGTCAAGCCGTCAGAACACTCAGCCAAACTACATCAAAATGGCACTTTCTTTTTATGACAGTCACATTCAGCGTAATCAAAAATTGAATATGGCATGAAGATACTACAGAAAAATAAAGTTATAGACTATTGTGTTTTATTGTGTATATATACAGTGTACTTGTCAAAGTGTTCATTTTGCCAGTACATGCTGGTGCATGTATAAGTTGCAATAAAGCATGAAAATATTTATATTCTTCATGAATCTAAAAAGTAAAATGTCATTCTACATACATATACACAAATAAATAAATAATTAAATATATATTTTAAAAAAATCACCTTGAGAGAAGCAGATCAAGTGGACCCCCTGTGGGTTGGCATCCATTATTTTCTTCATCATTGGGGCAACTATTCTGACCTGTTTCCCCATGGGTTCCAAGCTGAGCAGATCGTTAAAGGCATCTATATTGTAGGTTTCTGTTCCTGGGTGAGCCTGTGAGGAGGATTAAAGCATACTTTTAAAATACAGTGGCATAACAAGGAAACATTTTGGAGTTGGAAAATCTGTTTGAGTCAATTGAAGATTCAAGTTTGGTAATATTTTGATTTTCATTTCAGGTAATACCAAAGAAAAATATTTGTCCCACAGGTTTTGTTCTAAAAAGATCATTTGGGTAAAAGATCAGATAAGTCTGCTGTACATCTACATCAAAATAAAAGCACTATGCGGACCTGTCAATGCAACTACACTGCAAGTTGTCTCCTTTTCTTTCACTAAGTTAATAAATTAATGAATAAAAGAATAAATATATAAATAGCTTTAAATTCACAGAAGAATCAAGAAGCATGCATGTTGTTTATTAGTCTCAACATTAATATCCATTTTGCAAGAAATTGTTCCTTAAAAAATAATAATGATAACAAAGCTTTTTTCAAAATAAATCAAAGTACACTGTATCTATTATGTTCTCTAATTATTTTTCACATATTAATAATTGACCTTTTTTTTTCTTTTTGTTGAAAATTATGTTGGCAAAAAGTTCATCATAACATGTCATAAATAAAAGAAAATGTGCCAATGGTCAAATAGCTGCCAATCACATTTTGGCAATGACATAACTTCATCCCTCCAGATATGCAGTCTTATCTGATGCCTTGTCTATCCAAACAATGTCACTTTTATATCTGGGTTCTCTTTGATATATTAGACGTTTCGACTACATAAATACTAGTAGGTTGAGGAATTTCTCATCCAAGTGTTGTAAGAAGGGGGGGGGGGGGGAATCAGCATAGGATAGCCACATGTAACTATAATGAAGGAAATCTAGTAATTTTTTTTCTTTTTAAATGAATGATAAAATATTTGGTTAGAAAATATCCCATTTCTCATCAATCTGAATCTTACTACCATATTATTGCATTACACGAAACACTACAAATTACATAAATTTACAAGTGGCAAATGCTTTAAAAAAGGTCATCACAATTTTTGTACTCCATAAAGTACTGTTATTCCATCAACTACTCCAAAAACTGACATAGTTATGAAAATGGCTAGTGAAAACAGTATCATCTGAGTTACTGTTGATCCGTCATGAATGATGACATTTATAAAGCTGATAAAAGCCGTGATTAGAGTTATGTTAGGTATACTTTGCGGTATACTTTAACAATAAAATCTATACTGGCATGCTTTGACAGATAAACAAATTTTAATTAATTATCAATTGTATCTGCTCAAACAGGAACTTCAAGGTGGAATTACACATTTTAGCTGTTGAAATTAATATATGCACCAGTAATACAGTATTAGTATTAGTAATACAGTAATATAATATTAATTGACAGGAATTTATATAAAACAGCCTAGCTGCAGACATTATTTGGAACAGGATTTGTACATGTACACTTTCACTTACAATTTGTGTTTAGTAACAGTATTACACTAAATAATACAGACAAAGCCAGACTACATTTTTATTTTGTAATTTTAATTTAAAAATTTGGAATTGGCTTTCTTGTATGGCTGTACTTAATGGCAAGTATCAATGTGACAGGGATAGATGACATCTGCAGTTCATTGTTCAATATTCATATTTACGGTAGTCTTTGGAGTCCACATTTGACTGTTGAAGAGCAAGGGTGGAATAAAACAAATTTAGTGACAATAAAATTGGACAATGAATTTATGGTGCAGGTCAAATGATGTTATCAAACTGAATTAAGCAACACGTTTACAGTGATAAAAGCCTGGCAAGCATAACGACGAGATCCATTACTACATGTACAACCTAACTGTATCTGTACTAACTTGTAACAGTGATACAGTTGATAACGACTGGCGTCATTTTCAAGTTTAGTCAGCTTTTAGACATAAAAACAAAACACTTACCTTCTTAATAAATGCTTTCAGGTCATTTAAATCTCTTTGGGATGAAAGAATGCCGTGCATCAATATGACAGGTTTATAACTTTCGCTCACCCCATACTGAAGGAAAAAAAGAAATAAAGAAAAAAGAAAAACGTCGGGCATTCCGCCGACTTTCGACTGCTACTGCTACCTCCTAACGTAGAATTTTCACAAGGGATGACGACTTCGAAGTCTCACCCCTTTCGGTAAATAATATAAATGTTGAAGTCCTATTTTGATACGAGAGCGAAACTTTGCACCCCATTTTATATATACCGCTAGAGATGAAAGTCCCCACGTGGATTCTTATCATGTAAAAGCGGTCAGAGTTCACGCTACTGTGTTTGTCAGTGGCCTTTCTTGCGGTAAATTGTAGGTCATGTAAATAAGAAGTCGATGGCTTCTCCAAAAAGTCAGTGTTAGATATCCGTATATTTGCGAAATCCAAGCTAAATACAGCGATTTTGGCATCTATTGACTAGGAAATTCATTTCATTTTAAGTTTTGAAAAATTATGGTGTGTTTCTTTTTTTTAACAATAGCCGCTTTGATTTAAACATTGGTGTGGCGATGTGCTATCACAACTAGCACAATCCAAAGCGTTTCTCCATTATCCTGCGTGAGACTTGAGAAAAGTGAATGCTGTTGAAAAGGCGAAACTACAAATGTATAACAATTTTGTTATTAGCACATCTAGTTGGGGGGAAAATCCCCAGACTGCTTTGTTTTATGCTGCAAGAAAAAAAGTAAATAAATAAATATATAAATAAATAATAAAATAAAAATAATAAATAAAATTGCTTGTACAATTTATATTTTGGTAAAACGACCTGACAATGCTGTAAAAATATTAAAAATAAAATAAAATCTCCCTGTAGTTATTTAAAATAGTTTTATTACGATGCGGAAGTAGTAAGTGGTAACCCTGTAGGGCATCATACAAGCTGTGAACTTTAGGAGCTGTATACATGCACTTGGATTTTGTGGTTTCCTCTGCTTAAATTTGTTTTATTTTACTTGTACAAAGAATGCTAGGGTAAACTGTATATTTTCATTTAACAATTGTAATAAAGTTGAAAATACTTAATTAAAATTAGATATTCTTCATTTTGAAACTATTTTATTAGTTAAACTTTCTCAATAAAAGCTTGGTTAAATATGGCATCAGTATTTCATTTTATTGCTTTAATTTAAATCAGTGATAATACAGTATTTAAAGCATCTCTCTTCATGAAGACTCCTGCTAGAATTCGGTTAAAATGGTACATAAAACCTTGCAGTATATCAATCACATTAAATATCTAAAAGCAAATAAAGAAACGTAAATCGCATGGCTACTACCAGTTGATATTGGTAATTATTAGAGCAAATATGTAAAAATATTAATGTTAAAACTTTTGCTGAGCCTACATGTACTAGTAGCAGTATTGCATTTGTATCATGCTATGGCTTTAATAAATAATTACCTGCACTGTGTAATAAAAGATATATTGCACAGATTTTTAATGTAAGTAAGATCTTCAATTTTACATTGCACACTGCAGACTGAAATTAAGGAATCCCAGCAACAGATGGCACTAGTCAGTATAGTCACATGCAAGATAGCACTAATCCAGCCACTTTTCCATGTAGGTTTTAAAGACATTTTGGTTGTGGGGCCAATGAGTGTGCTTTACCCCAGGGATGATGTACTTCTGCAATGCTCCCCTATTGGCTAGGGTCTTGAGGCCAAATGAATCCTTGACAAAATACTGGAATAAATAATTTCTGTTCAATGAAAAGTAAATCTGTAAATGTTAAACAATATTTCAGTCAGACTAGAAAATATATGTTCCTGTTGCCAGAAGTTATGAAAATCTGACGAAATGATTGACAACATATATACTGTTCTGCCCACAGATGGAACAATTTTCAACTTAAGCAGCTCAAGTATGTGTACGTACCTCTTGTTCTTCCATTTCCTTAATTTTTCCTTTTTCATCAAATGAACCAAAGTGACTGGAAATAAAATAAACAATTGTCTTTTTGGAATTTGTTAAGTAAGAGAAGAAGAAGAAATTAGTGTAATGTTATACAAGTTAACCATCATTAAATGGAAAGAAATTTGGTTTCTCCTGTGCACAATTTGATTGGTCCTATACTTGAATAACAGACTGCACTGGGAGCATATGTATTGCCTGTACAGATGAAGGCACCTTGAGTTACAAGATTAAATTAACTGGAAACAGCTAAGACATGTTTCCAGTTAAGTTTCTAGGAACATCTTAACTCAGGGTGATAGACGGTAAATGGTTTATTAATTAATTTTGGACATCATGCTTACCTAGACTGCCATGGTGTGATCACCCCATCATCTGGACCACCAATCATGATTAGGTTTTTTATCTTTAGGAAGTTGTTCTTGAAAGCTGAAAATAACCACAGGGGTGGATGACAGTATTTAATGCACAATCTGTATATAATATGCCATTTTTATGCATTTTATGAACAATCAGTGGCGGATTTAGGGGAGGGGGGGTCAGGGGGGGCGGTTTTGCATCGGAGGACCCCCCCTTCAAATAATCCTGGATCCACCCCTGAACAATATTACATGTTTTTGACTGAATTTTTTGACTGACTCAGATCCACAAGCATACTATCTCTCCCTTAAATGTAAAGATGGAAAGTATGTGATATAATTATTATTTCAGTAATAATAATTATACTTTTAAATTATTAATTAGAAAAGATAACAAATACATAAACAGGATTTTACCATTGCCTTGAGGATTGGGAGCCTGGTTGTTCAACTGAGCAAGAAAAACCTTCAAGGAAGGTTGCTTGAAGAGGTCCAAATGATAAGGATCTGAAGACAGAAAGACAAAAACTCTGAACCTTTTGTATATTTATTTGTATATGTAATTTTCTATGTGGTAAGTAAGTAATTGATAAGAAAAATGTTATATGGTTGCAACCTAACTTCACAATAAAAGAAGATATAATGATTCAAAATTGGCATATTTATTTCATATATAACACAGTGGTTATCTAAAACTAAACTTGGCTTTATTCTGACACAAAAATATTGATCCCTGTTCATGAAAGGTATTGTTGCCCTGGTCATGTGTGAGGACAAAAGTAAGCTATATTATGTGCACTTACCATACCAGTAATTTGCTATAGACACATTCTGTCCACGGGGTGTGTAGAAAACTCTTAAAATAAAAAAAATTTAAATGCATGGTTTAAAACATTTAAATTAAAATTGGGATTTTAAAATACTGTTATAATAATCTTTATTTGAGAATCACAACCCGAAGGTTGAAGTTATACAATTATATATGAATATTCAAGTCAAGGAAGCCTGGTCATTTTTGCACTGGTGCACTCCGTAGACGGTCTCACCTCCCTGGGGAGCATACAGCTCGGCTGCCATATTAGGCGCTCATAGCTAATATATTATTTCTGCACTGCCTGACCAGGCCCCTGCTTCAACCCCTTAGTGCTGAGTGCCAAGCGGGGAGACAGCAGGTACCGTTTATAAAGGACTGGTATGTCCCCGGACGGGTTTTGAACCCACGTCCTCCCGTTCCGGAGGCGGACACTCTAACCACAAGGCCATCCTTGACACATGCAATTTTAATAAAAAAAAAACTATTCTTTGTCGGGTATACCTAATATTTAAAGACTGTGGAAATATTTTGCACACAAAGTCCCTCTCTTAACTCATGAAAGATAAATAAATTTCAAGACTTTTTAATTACCTGTAGATATATTTGCTGCTAATATTTGGAACAAAAGGCTTTACCATGTTAGGTACTGCAATAAATTTAATTTACATTTAATGCAATTTCAAAAAATAAAAATAAATAAATAAAAATTAAAAAATTAAAAACTTCAATGTTGTAATATTTGAACATTTCATATTAACCACATTTACAGTCAATTTTGTTGTCAAGCATATCTAATTCTGGTATAGTTATCAATTCATACACATGATTCTCTCTTCAGAGAAGGCTTGGAATAAAGTAGACAATGATGATGTATAATAGGACTAACAACCTATTGGTGAGTGAAAGTGTATTTAGAAAAAAAAAAAAAAAGATTATGATGAGTAAAGTGTATTTAATGTGTATTTAAGTGTATTTAATGTTGTCAAGCATATCTAATTCTGGTATTTATTTCGTTCAAGAATGATTACCTCCGTACATTCCTCCTTGGGGAGAGCTGAGGGAAATAAAATTATGGACATTGTGTGAACCTAAAGATTCCAGCACCCCACGACATATAAGGCCTCCTGAAATTAAAAAAAATATATATTTATCAGCATCTAACTGAAAACTTCAAGCACTTTACTTATCACAATTTCTCACTTCATCCAGATTATACTTCTCTTATTTTCTTATTCAGAAATTAAAATATTACTTTTCAAATTATAATGACTAAACTAAACATAAATAGGTATTTTTCATTTCGAACTTTGGCACACACTTCTCAATATAAGATAAACCCAGGATAACCAAGTACTGAAGCAATAATTTAATTCTTTTTTTTTTTAATATGATGTTTTAGAGAATAACAATATCCAGTTTATTATTTAGGATATTCATCACGAAACAAACAAATAAATAACAATGATAAGAAATACATAAAAATTTGAAAACAAAAGAATACCTTGTGAGTAACAAATCATGTGAACCCCCTGCGGATGGGCATCCATAAATTTTTTCATCACGCCAGATATTTGGGTCACCTGTGTCCACATGGGCTGTAAACTGTCCAGGTCATTGAAGGCATTCACATTCAGTGTTTCTGTACCAGGGTGGGCCTTTAAATGCATGAAATACAATAGATAGATATGTATTATTATTATTATTATTATTATTATTATTATTATTATTATTATTATTATACATACTGATATGATAATTTAATGCTGTTGATTTGTTTTAATTATATCCAGATTGAAACACATGAATCAATGAAGGGCATCATCTGCTTTCTTCATTTTTTTTACTACCTGTGTTATGAAAAATACAGACAATGATTTTAAATTTAAATTGTCACAGTTTTGCTAACTAGAATAAATTATTATATTTGTCATGAGAGAGAGAGACTGGAGAGTTCTCTGGCTCATAAATAAAAAGAAAAAATTCTGGTTTGATTTCAAACCTCTAGGTATAAATACTAAGCCTGAATGGAAGATTTTTATCTGCAGGTGGGTGTAAACAGAGAACAACTTGTCATAAATTATATTCTTAAACTGGCTGTAGTTACCCCACAGCTGGAGGATGGACTGAGAGACAGGTCTGCCCATGCAATCAAGACAAACTTTCTCATCCGATAAGAGTCGGATAACAATGACCAATACAACAATTAACGTGTGGTGTCACTTTTTCTTACTGGGCAGACAACAGCTGATGTAAATTATTGATATTTCCTTCCATATTAATAATTATGTTTGACACAAATAAATAAATAAATAAATAAATAAATAAATAAATAAATAAATAAATAAATAAAAGCCTCAAAACATAAAAAAAGTCAAAATGTCTTTATGAAAAGATTTTCTTTTCAAAGAATGATTAGTTACAAAGGAATACCAACAATGAAGACTATAATAAATTCAGAGACATGAAGATAAAACTACAGCCCAATGTCCAGACACACCAGTGGCTGTACCTAAAACCAGATCATAAAACAATATGTTGTAGTCAACAATTGTCATCCTTTCTAGTGTTAGTCATTTTACTTGTGAAGTATATCTGGTAAAAATGACATATAATTAGTAGAGATAAGATATAAATATAGTGTTCATAATACCTAACAGCCATGACTCTCCAGAACTTTTATATCCCCTTGCATTTCATCTATCAGCAAACATGATAATGGAGAAACCTGATATGTTGGACATATAAATGATGGAACTGCTAGTGACTAAGTCTGAGGCTGTTAAGATAACTGCACAATTGTGGAAGGAGGGACGGGGGCAGGGGGGGGGAGACAGTTGGAGAATAACATATTTCAATAAGAAAAAATAAAAACACAGCAGCAAAGCTGGAAAGTATACAGACGTTAATCTGGCGTTAAATAGAAAAAAGTCATTCCATTGGGCAATTTTAATATAAATAGGCAAATACCTGTAAACCATCAAAATAATTAAAAAAAGACTGAATTCTGCAATGTTTACTGCCTTCAAAATATCACTGTTTTTCTTTTTGTACTGAGCCTGTTATATCACTCAGTTTCTGAATCTGAAACATGTGTACAGGGAAAGCTCTAGAAAATATGAAGCAAAACTAAAAAGATGACTTCACTTTTGGGAGAAACATTACAAATATACATACATGGAATGTAAACAAATACAAGTACTTTTATAAAAAATAATCTGCTCAATACACGCTGCTTAAAATTCTTAAAGGAACCTCTGTCTAATCCAAACAATGCCACTCAGCAAATTTGAAATAAGACAAAAATATGGTTTTGCAGTTATAGGGTGAACAACAACTGAGTCAGACAGCGACTGTAATGGCACAGATGACATGAAAAAATAATCAATCAATTAGAGTAGAATCTAATATAATGGGCGGATCTTAATTACTCTAACCAAGGATATATAAATTCCTTGATAAGATTAACCAAATGCTTCCTTAATTATGTGGACACTTATCTTTTTAAAAAGTAATTGCCTTGCCAAATTTTATTACTGCAGATCAAATATGTTAGGTATACGTGATAAAATTTGGATCAATAATCTAATACCGTTATGCGTTAAATCAAAATAATATAATATCAATGAAAACAATTTATAGAAAAAAGCTTACCTGTCTGATATACTGTTCTATATTATTTAAAGATGTCTGTGATGAAAGAATGCCGTGCATCAAAATCACGGCCCTATAGCTATCGCTCACCCCATAATGGAACATGAAAAGAGTAAAACAAAAGAGAAAACGCCCAGGCATACTGCTGTCTGCTAGTCTCTCTACTGCTACCTCCTAACGTAAAAAAAATCCACAAGGCAAGCCAACGTCGAAGTCTCTGCCTTTTTGGCGTTTGTATGATTGTCTGTCTGGTATAAAACTATTGTGCCGAATTTTATATGTACCGGGAGAGATGAAAGTTTCCACGTGGTTTCTATATCAGATAAAAGCGGTCAGAGTTCAGGCTTCCCAGTTTAGCTGTGGCCTTTCTTGGTGGAAGAACTTAATCAGGTCACGAAAAGATTGGCCCTGATATAGGTCACAGCATACGGAGATGGCTTCCCCAGAGAAAGTGGCACAGGTATTACTGGCAGATTTATGGAAATTACTAATGAAATATGCTTAATTATTTGTTTCTTGCTATAGCTCAGTTACATGTGAAACGGTAGCCACCATTTGCTTCAGATAAAAATGATCTGTCAAGAATTTTATTGCCATTCGTTATTGGATTGAAAAACTACGCATCGCATCGGGTCGTTTTAAAAGTTATCTTGATCAACTCCAGTCGAACAGCTCTTATCATCTGGAGAATCAATTTACAGCATGTGCAAGTTATGCAAGCCCTCGCACCTGATGCTGGCGTGTGCAGCAGTTGTGTGGTATGTGTGCCTAGCACTACTGCCCAGTAAGTTTATACCCCATTAGTGGCACTTTAATTAAAGCACTGTAAATCATGTATTACTGGTCGACCTTGATAGAGGCATGAGCTCCCAGTTAACCTTGGTTTTATCTGATATGTAAGTTTAAATCTAGGCCTGTTCAACAAGATATCTTTAAACCTTTTTTTTGCCATGCACATAATATGGAAGGCCTCAGATCTGAACAGGAACCCCTGTCTGTGTAACAATTTAGGCTGCTTTGCCCAAGGAAAAATATATAAGTAGGACACCTCAGTGAAATTATTTGGTACTACAGGTAGCATCTAACTATTGAAGAATAATAAAATGTAAATAAGAAAAGAAAAAATTGAGGAAGTATCACTTGGTCTAGAGTGTATAAGTTTTCTGCCTGCCGAGATGATCTGGGTCCCATTTTACTGATGCCTGTCTGGAATAAAATAAAGAAATTAAGATGAAATAAGTACCTTTCTGTCTCGACCAAGCTTCAGTTATGCCCTATGTGTTTTTGTATGTTACAGTGCTCACTGAATTTCAAAGTCTTTCAGTTTGTTGAATTAGCTGAATTTTGGTCATCCTGCATGGGTTTTCATAATGATTTTATTGTGTCTAGTTGATGACAAAGTGTGTGTAATGGTATAAAACTATGTAGATGATCTAGCATAAATTTACATAAAATTCAGAGCATTAGTTCAGAAAATTATCTGTATGTTGTCACTACATATAGCCAATTATCATTTTTTCTTTTACAAATCTTTAAGAATAAATTTAGTCTTTGGCATTGCCTAAAATTTATATTAACAGGGTCTAACTGAAATCTTTGTATAAGTTATGTTACAAAAATGTTTGGCTTCAAGTTGTAATGTACAGTATATATGAATATTACTGAATATGTTTTTATTTATAGTTTTGGGATGAGGGTTATACCATCATTGAGAACTTCTTGTCAGAAGAAGAGTGTGATGCCCTAAAAGCAGAATGCCATGATGTTATTGACAAGATGGATCCCAAGGAACACCATGCTGTATTTTCTTGTACAGGTCATGAACAGGTATAAAGTATATAGATTGTATTGTCAAAGCCTGGCCTTGAGCTATCACAACTAACACAATAAGTTCAGTCTGCTGTGCTAACAGGTAGATTGTGTTGTCACAACAGGTCAGTTCCATTGTGTTTTCACAACTTACACACTAAGTTCAGTCAACTTTTTTCTTTCTCTTCCCTAAATGTTGGTAGAATTTAAACCAGTTAATGTTTGATGATTTTTTAAGATACTGGCCTTTATTTCTCTTATGAGTGAGTAAATTCTAAGACTGCTTTCTAGAAAGAAGTTATTTATGCTCATAACTTTTTGGGACATTCTGTAAACATTGCATTTGTCATTTGTATACCCCTAAGCCATCACAGCGCATTCCAAAAAGAAAAAAAATAAAATAAATAGATAAATAAAAACAATAGTGCAATATATGAATGAGTAAAAAATGGTGATATTAATTATATTGAATTAAAAGTTGCCCATATGTTTAATTTTTTAGCTAAAAGAAGATTACTTTCTGACAAGTGGAGACAAGGTTAGGTTTTTCTTTGAAAAGGGGGCATTTGATGAGAAAGGTATGCAGTGTTTAACATATAAATAAGCAATATCATTATCTACACAAAATGAAGGATTCAGACTTAAGTAATGCAACTAATATATATATTATAAATGAATAATTAAGTCAGGTAATACTATGCTTCTTTGATTTGAAATATTTTCATTTTTTGCCACATTGATTTTAAATTGATTTTATTATTAATATGTGGTTTACTTTTGATGCAAATTTTATGTATTCTTTAAATAAAAATGAGCACTGGATTTATATCATAATATATTTGTTAAAGGTGAACTTGTAGTGGACAAACAGAAGTCCCTGAACAAGATGGGACATGGTAAGCTTTTTCTGCTTTTTTCATTAAGTTGGAATCACACTTTCATTGTGCTTTTTTCAGAATTACATTTGTATCTGTTTTTAAGATTAATGTTGTCTTTTTAGAAAAGGTATCATAATTATAGGAACATTGGTTTTCCATATTCCTGTCAAACACTTGAATGAATTATGAATATATTGATTAAAGAATGTATTGTGTTAGGTTTGATTTTTATTTCAATTTCAATTTCAGATATTGTATTATGACTCGATATTTCATATGTTCTTTTAGCCTTGCATGCTCTCTGTCCAACATTTCGAAAGGTCACTTTCAGCGAGAAGATGAGGGTAAGCAGCTTCTTTTGTGAATGTCAAAAAATATGTGTAAATTTCTTTGCATATTTGTTGTTAAAAATTAAGATTAAGAATGTGTTGAGTATCTTATTAAATCTCATCATCTTTTAACACACAAAAAGGAATAATAACTGGATTTGATACATAGAACACAGAAATTAATACTTTTGTTTTAACAAATTATCCAGGAAGTTGTGAAGAATATAGGATATGAAGATCCAGTGATATGCCAGAGCATGTACATATTCAAGGTGATTTCGTAATTGTATAAACTAGAAGTTCTTCTAAAAGAAGTGTTATGTCTTTGGTTCTTGCTTGGAAATTGCCCAGTTTCAAAGCCCTTTCATAGTCTCTCTCCTTCACACCAGTAGGTGCTTGCTGGCTCTTCGGCAGTGACAAAGAGTAGAGGAGAGTCACTGCTGGATTCTGAAATTCAAGGTGAAAGTACAAATATAATTTGTTGCTGTTGGTAAATTGTCGTAACAGCCAAGTACTCTGAAATTCGGAGTAATTGAAGAACCATATAAGCAGATTTTATAGTATCATTAACAGATGGAATATTTTGTAAAAGAATAGTAATATTTAACAATTGAGTAAAAAATATGAATTGTTATGAATTGAAATGAAATTTTGTTTTTACTTCAGAATCCTGGCATTGGAGGAGTAGGTATGTGAAAGTTTGAGAGAAGTGTTAAACAACTTTTATAAAAAACTTTTGTCAAACTTTAACATGAAGCATGGTACTTTTATTTGATTGTTTACCACTATCAGTATTGAAAATAATATCTCCATTTTTAGTTATATTATTACAAAGAAGTGATACTATTATTATTCAAGAAAAAGTAATATTGGGTATCAGTGCTTAATTTAAGGGCCTGAAAAGTTGAGACTTCATCAAATTATAAACAGCCATGTGTCCAGGTTCTACAAACAACTTGTATCTGATGGTTATATACATTGCATTTTAGTCACTGCACATCAAGACTCCTGGTTTCTAAACACAAAGCCATTGAAACTTATGGGTGTCTGGATTGCTCTGGAAGACGCAACTTTGGAAAATGGTTGCCTGTGGTTCATCCCTGGTTCACATAAAGGTATAATAGACCAATTAAAATCAAAACAATATTATTCCATACGTGAAGAAATTCATTAGGTCAGTGGGTTGTCTGTGTGTGCGCACGTGCCTGTGTGTGTGTGTGCGTGTGTGCATGTGCATGTATGTGCAAGAGTGTTCATAACATACAGAAATCTAACAAGCTTTGTCATTATGTTTAACTCAGTATTTAACAAAGAAAGAAATCAATCACATTAGTTTTTGGTCAACATATGAACAAGCTTTTCTTTGTAGAGTTGATATGATGCTGACCGTGAGATTGTTTTAATATGTCTTTTTTTCTTTAAATGTTCCGCTTTTAAACAATATTTTATTTAATTTTTTCAAACTTTTGTAATGAAGTGAAAGTTTCACTTGGTTATAACTATTAGAATTCTTTTACAAATCACTTAATAATAATAATATTTATTTATAGTCTAAAATCCAACATGTGTTCAGTAGACTTTACAAAAATTATAAAATTCAAATTAAAAGAAAAATATTGCTAATGGTTATAAGATGAAGAAAAGGAAAATGATTATAGAAAAATATCAGGATATATAAAATGGATAAAAAAGGGGGAAATTTAAAACTATGACCAAGAACAGTTTTTCTTAAGAAGTGTTTTTTCAAGAATTTAAAGATAATATTGTTTAAAAGGGTGGGTTTTTAGTTCCTTTTTAAAATGTCCAGGGTCCACAATTTGTCTAAGACTGATGGGTAAAATATTCCATTCTTTTGGTGCTGCAAATTTAAAAGCTTTATCACCGTATGATACTAATCTTGCCTTATAAGCCTTAAGAAGAAGGTGATCACCTGATCTGAGATTTCTTGATGGCACGTAGTGTGAAACAAGCTCATTTAAATAAGAAGGTGCAAGTTTATAAAATGCTGCATGTGCAAATGTTAAAAGTTTGAATAAAATAAACTTACCCATTGAAGTTCTTAAAATTTAATGGATGTAACTTTAAATTTGCTACTGCCTCAAATCTAAAATTACTTTTAAGAATCAAATTTTAACAAGTGTGGTCAATAACTAAAACATTCATAAACAACACCAGTGATACTTGTTTTGTACTCCTTTCTTAGAGGGTATCACTGATAACTACAGGATGATAAGAAATCCAGACAAAGATGGCCCTCCATTGAAGTTCACTGGGGCAGAGCCGAAGTATGATGATAGTAAATTCATTCCAGGGCCTGTCAAAAAAGGTAAATATTTGTATTTTCAGACATATTCAGGTGAGGGGTGTTGATTCCTTCTTTTCACTTTCAAAAATTAGATAAAACTGAGAGCGACTTTTTTCTTTTTAACTCAGAACCAACCAGGTGCAGGTGCCTTCTACAGTCTTTGTAAGACAAGGTTTCCTCTCTAAAGTGTGTAGTTTTACTAATTAATCAATATTGCAGGGGCGGATCCAGAGATATTTTCTGACAGTCTTCCAACAGAAAAAAAAATACCCATCAGTGTAAACTTGAAAATCTGACAGTCTTCCGGAAGACCCAGAAGACGACCTCAATCCGTCCCTGTATTGTGACTTGAACATCATGTTAAGGATAAGAAACTTAACAACAGAGTTTCTGTATTTGATAAGGAAATGTCATTCTAGTTTGTACAGATAACAGCAGGAGTTTTAAATAATCCTTTGAGTTCTACTGTACTGTGAACAAATTCCATCTTTTCAACAATTCCTGTTATTAACTTCTTGCATATTTATAACACCTATTTTTTGTTTTACAGGAACTGCTGTGCTCATTCATGGGGAAGTGGTTCACAAGAGTAACCCTAATAATTCAGACAAGTCGCGGGAGATCTATACTTTCCATATATATGACCAGAAAGGAACTGAATATAGCAGCATCAACTGGTACGTTTATCTAAGTTACCTGAATGTTTGGCATATGAAAAGGTTAAATTTGTTTGTCTAAAATTGGCAGTTCTTAAAATTTTTCTAAAAATTATTTTCATGCCTTGAGACATGTCAGCTTAAAGGGATAATAACTCTTCGTACGAGGTCTACATTTTACAATAAAAACATTGTGAATAACTCATAGAAATGTAATATATTCTGTTTTACGACAAAAACAGCAGTTATAGCTCTTATTCTGATATCGGAGCTTGTTTTCAGACCACGTGACCTCCACTGATGGCTATACTCTGTTATAATCTCTTAAGAGATTTTAACAAAAAAACCAAACTTTTTAGAAAAAAACAGGGACTAACTTTGAATGTAAAAATGGATTCATTAACCATATGTAAGTATGGGAAAATTGTTGTTTACTCCAGGATAATTCATTTTTTGGCCAAAATGAAGAGTTATTATCCCTTTAACTGTTATCTTTTATTCTGTGAGATTCAATTTTATTTTACAGATTCTGATGATGTATTATGCAATTCTTTTCGTAATCATTTGAAGTGTGGGAAAAGCTATAATATTTATAATGTCTGTATTTTTCAGGTTGCAGCCTACTGAGGAGATGCCTTTTCCACATCTTTACACTTTCAGTTAAACAATTGAAATTTTTCCTAATAAAAGTCATAATTATGACAATCAATCAAACATACCTATTATTATATACCAAAAATGCGACAAGACTGGTCATCTCAGAGGCAGGAAGTATTGTACAATCAGGAAGAATAATTCACAAATTGTCGCACAGGTGCACATAATTTATTATTAAAGTATTAAGCATAGGGAATGCTTTATAATCAGGGTTACGTGTTACACTAGCTTATATTAATATGTATTAAAATTAGAGGAATAAAAAAATATGAATGTTGCACCTGTTTTTTTTTTTTAAACGGAAAATTTATAAGAATGAATATAGAAAATGAAAACGAAATGCCCTCCTAAATACCTGTATATTTTGTAGTGGAAGTGCCCTTTTGTCTGCTAGTTTAAACTATTGAGGCGAGTTCTATGCATTTGCTTTTAATTTGACAAAAAGGGATAAATAATTGTACTTATCGACAATAACATAGTGAGCAAAGAGTAGGTGCATGCCTTAATTTATAATTATTCCTTATGGTTGATTAGTTTCACTTTTTATGTAAGTCTTGTATTTTTTTAATATTTTTTAAATTGTAAGCTTTATGAAGAGGAACAGTGGTAGTATAAATTTACTAAAAGGCAGCTGTTGATTTTATGTAATTGTACTCATTCACATTTGGATTACTGAAAAAAAAGTTATTTATCTTGCTGAATTATTTGTTTTTGGAGTTTACAGCTTGTCTTTTTTTTTGTTTTTATGAATATTCTTCTCTGTCTGGTGAAGGTATTTGCTATTAGTTGGTTAGGAATTGAAATTTTTAATGGCTAAAATGTATGTGGAAACGTACAATAATGTACGCTAATTTTTATACAAGAAAATGAACATGGTGAAATACAATTTACTTTATGATAGAAATTGTTCACATGTATGTATTAAAGCAAATAAACAGTTATCATAAATTAAACAATACTATTTTATTTTCATAATGAGCATCACATATATATGGATCATGCAAAAACTTTACAATATGTACACAATCACAAGTTGACTGCAGCAAGATGCATCAACATAATATACACAATTACACAGTGGTGAAAAAACTTGGGCATCGCAAACATTCTCTTTAAAACTGAAAGGCATAAGGAAATTACGGTGTGTTACTTATAAATGAAGATGCCTATAATGTATGCATCTTGACAGATATGTATATCACAAGCAGTTTTCTGTTGCACCATAAGGTAATAGGAGAGGTTGTTTTTAATTGATTGAAAAGTATAAAATTGGGAACATGCACTTTCATTTCAATTGATTAATTCCAGGTTATCAGTAAATCATTGAAGCATTATCCGTTAAAATATACGAGAGGATTCAATTTAATAAGAAATAAAATGAATGAATTAGTTGCTTGTAGCTGTTGGTAAAGTATATCTTGAAAAAAGTGTCTTTTTAACAAGAAATACTAGTTTGAAGTTCTTACCTGCCACGTAGTTCATATATATTTAGCTAATTATGCATTTTAACACCATTGTGTACAAGATAAAACAGTAACAGTTAAAACACTATAATCATATATTGTTCATCCTTAAATTATGTGACCTTTGCACATCACATGATCATCACATGACTTAAAAGATGTACATGTACAACAAGAATTGTGAATGAGAATTAAAACAACAAACTTATCACATGCATATTATCATATATTGAAGAGGTGACCATAATATTACATTTTTATCTCGTATAAAATTGGCAAAATGCATGAATCCCTAATTAATGCAGTTTGCCATTATTTGTTTCAATAAATATATTAACACGCTATCTTTATATCGCTACACCATAAATTTCTATGTATCAAACAAACAACAATTCATTTGACATTTGGGAACAGATTGTGCTTCATAAATGGTGGCATTGCTTTAGGTGAGTTCTAGAGCACTTCCAAATGGCCTTTTTACTATAAAAGTGAACGAATCTAAATCCGTATGCATATCCAGTCTCAACTCTTAAAGTTTGTCAAAAGGTAATAAATGAATAAATAAATAAATAATTAAATAAAAACTCATCCCCTCAATTGCTTCCCACATTATCCTGGTTATAATCTACAACGCTCATGTCTGGATCAGTTCAAGACGCAATATTTTACAAACATTTACATTTGATACCCACTACAATATTCTTATGAAGGATTTTGCATGTTAGTTCTATAGAGTTGTAATGCACGAAACTTGGACGTCTTTCATGTTAACATTTTTGATAACCTCTGACATCATGTGCCTTGGTTTACACACATAAAACTGTGATCC